TTTTTTTTTTTTTTTTACTTTCCTGCTCATCCATTTGATGTGGAACACTGGCTATACATTAAGCCTTTTCTTTGTCCTTCAAGCTGATTACAGGGTAGGGACATGTCTGATAGTGATCCTGCAGTGGCTGATGTTGAGAGCCACGTGACAAGAAGCTCTGGAAGGCTCTAGAAAGGGATGATGGTACAGCTCTGTCTAGGTCCTCAGGACAGTCCTACCAGAGAAAACCCCCTCTTACCCTTCCATGGAGTCTGAAGGACAACAGAAGCTGTCAGAAATAGGTGGGGAAGAGTGCGCGTGCGCATGCACGCACGCGCGCGTGCACACACACACACACACACACACATAGGATGGGGTGGGGAGAGAGGAGGAGCTAGAGTTCTAGGTTTGGGAGAGACAGGTGTGAGAACTTTGTTAGTTTCAAATTAGTCGCCTTGTGGTGAAAAGATAGCATAGGGAGAAGAGAGGAAGCGTCAAAGCAGTGGGACTCCCAGGAGGGACGGGCAGGCCTGTATTTCAGAAAAAGCACTATCTTCTGTGTGTATGACAGGTTTGTGCAGTGGTGGGGAGCAGTGAGGAACTTGGATGGTCTTCCTTAAAGGAAATGATGGTCATTCTAGTAAAGTGAGGATGGGTGGGGAAGAGGACTGGGCAGACTGGAGAACTTCGGAAAGTTAAGTGCAGTATGACTGGTCAGCAGAGGCCTGAGTGTGTCCTGACTTTCCTCTGATTTGCTCCATGAAGGTGCCTTTGCTGCTTCGGTGAATTTGGGGAGGACACAACTCCTCAGTTTATTACAGCAGATACTGTTGTTTTCTGTGAGGAGTGTCCTGTGCCACCAGGGCCCTTCGCAGTAGTGTTGCAGCCACATTCAAGTGACCTAGGTCTGGAAAGGCCAAGTTTTACCCAAGGCCCTAGGACCCAAGAAAGGAAAGACTGCCAGTGCCTCCATGTCCCCCACCCCTGCCTGGGCAGTCCTCGATGCTGGCCAAGCCTCTGGTAGTTAAGACAAGCTCTCTGCTTCCAGCTAAAGCTGACTGTCAGCTAGAGATTTAGAAAGGAACTGCTGGGGTTTCCAGGACTTATTCTTCTAATTAAAGAGAACTGGAGTTAATGGCTTAGTGGTTGTTCCATAATCAGGCCCTGCTACAAGTGGTTAAGGAGGTTGGCAGTGAGACCCAAAAGAGCCTTCAGGGACAGGGGTGTGGCTGTGAACAAGGCTAGGAAAAGGACTTCTGCATCCAAAGCTAAGAATGTGGCTTCCCTTGAGTCATGGATGATAGGGAGGTTTTTGAGTTGTGGCCCATTGAGACAGAAAATTAGGCTGTTTCATCTTGTCCTGGAAGTGACTGTGGGTGGGGGTGGTGGAGTGGGGGGAATGGGGGAATAAAAAGAAAGAAAGCTTGGGAGTCAAGCTGGCTTGGAATTGGGGTTTATCATGTCCTGGCTGGGCTGTTGGACCAATGATTAGCAGCCTCCCCACCCTCAGGTAGTTTATCCTTGCAATCTGTTGGGTGTGGTTATTGTCAATGTTAGATTGTATTCAGACACCCTGGCACAGAGATATATTTTAAAAGTGGTCATTCCTACTCTTCAGATTAGCATTTGAAGGTAAAGGATTGAACCCAGGGCTTGGTGCATGATGAGTAAATGATGTATCATTGAGATACATCCCCATGCCTGATTAACAGTTTTATGAACATCATCGCCAGTACTACGTTCATGTAGTTATCACAGATTGTGGAATACTTTACTGTTTCTCCATCAGTGAGACTTCATCTCATCCTCACAGGCTTCTGTCCTCTAGCATCAGTGTATCTACTAATTTCATTAGGCCCAGTTCTCTTTAAAAGCTGAATTTCCATGTGAGGATGTCTAATGCTGACATCAACCAAATGCTTCATTCTCTGTATCATGAGTTTAGTCAAGAAAGCCCTTCATTGAGGCTAGAGAGACAGCTCACCAATTAAGAGCACATATGTTCTTTCAGGACTCGCTCAGGAGGTGTCCAACTGCTTTGTCTCCAGCGCTAGGGGATCTGATGTTCTCTCCTGCCTTCATAAGCTCTACACTCATGTACACAAACACTCATATTCACTCTCTGCCAAAAATAAATAAATAAAAATAACATCTTTTTAAGAAGAAAAAAAAGCCAGAGCAGGTGACCACCTGGAGGATGCCCCACCCTGAGGATAGGGCAGGGAGCCTGTTGAGAAGTGGGTGCCCCCGCTGGGAAGCTGGGTTTGAAAAGGTAGTTTCTAAGCCCTGGCGCCAGTCTATTAGTATTTTACACAAGTGAAGAGGTTCTGATATTCTCTTTGGTTCTTTTAAAGAAATGTTTGTATTCTGGAGAGCTTTGCAGCCTTGGTAAAAGTGGAACAGGCATGAATGGCCTTGGGAAAAATCTTTCTCTCAGCTTTCCCTGCTCTCCAAAATTCATGAGAGTTGCCTTTGCCCCACTAGATAGAAAGCTGTTTCTTTTTTATTGTAAGGAATAGTTTTATATTCTTTTAGTAAACATTAAAGGGAGCATTTTAAAACATAACACTAGTCCTCAGTGTCCTGAGAGCAGACCTAGCAGGGCTGTCAGTGTCCTGATAGCAGACACAGCAGGCCTGGCCTTGGAGGCCCATTGTTTTCTTTCATAGAATAAAAACTTCAGTGCCACTGTCTTAAGAGTTATGCAAGTTCACATTATGAAAATATATGTAATAAAATATTTATTTAGGGTTTTCATAAAAAGTATCCAAAGTAGAGAATAGGAGAGTATATTTTGCTGGGTTGAGAGGCTCTGCAGGGAATTCAGAATGAAATTCAAGTCCCTCAAATATATTTTGGTTGGCCTCCACCATGTTTTATCTCCTGTAATGAACTCTTTGTCAGTTTGTCAATTTTCACGAAGTTCACAAAGTTCATGCATAGTAACACAGAACCCGGGTTTAAGATGATGCTTTATATCATGATGTAATAGTCATCTCTCTTTTCCTTCAGTCAATATTTACCTGTGAGGCCCATATATTATATCCCGATTTCAAAAGAAGACCCTTTATTTTACCTTCTTCAAGTGTTGATTTTACATACTTAAAATATCAGAATTTAGAAGCTGAGCTGTCCAAGACTTTTCTGCCTGTGGTCACTTAAAGTGCCTAAAGAGTGTCAGGCATCCTGGGTGGGTTCACTGCACCAGTGACCCAGCAGCACAGCTGCATGCCTATCAGAGTGAGGCTGCTCAAAGGGGAGCCAGGCTGCTGTATCCCAGCTCCCCAGGTTTCTCCTGTGGAAGATAAGCCCATTGTACCACCCCATAGCAGCCACTGGCTGCCTTCAACTTAACTTCTCCTTTGTAAATGCTATAAGGCTGTACAGAAAAACTCAAGGGACACTCAGTGGGAGGATCTCTGTGTGTCAGAACAATTGAAGAATAAGTTCTATCCCCTCTTTTTAAAAGTTGCTTTTTTTTGCACCCATTTTTTTTTAAAAGCTAAGGTAAGAATTATCTGTAGTGAAGGAGGAACAGGAAAGAAGTAAAAGTTGCAGATGTTCCATATCAACTATCTGTTGGGCCAGAGAGATGGTGGCAAAGGCTCCTGCCCCCAGACCTGTGATCTGAGTTCCACCTCAGGGTTCACAGGGTGAAATGAAAAAATTGCTTCCTTCACACTTTCTTCTAACATTCACATGTACACCATGGCATGCTCACCCTACACACGTACCCATGCATACACATGCACATAGGTAAGAATGTAATTTTTTAAAAAGAGTTAAGAATATCTGATGTTTTAGGACTGGCCACACAGATCACCAGAGGAGCAAATGGGGGTGTGCTAATAAGCTCCTTGATGTTAGATGTGACTCTCAATGAGTCGGAACCTAGAGAGTATTCATCAGCTCAGAAACATCCAGGTAGACAAGTAGACTAGGTTCAACCTCAGCTGGATCCTGGAGTTCAAATGAGGTCACCTTCAATTTTCCCCTATTTCTTAGACTTGTTGTTTTTCTATGTTGGTTTGAGTATGTACATGAAGGTGGCTCCTGGCAAGTGCAGGTTTATACTGTCCCTCTTTTCTGAGTTCACAGGAGAGACTTTCTTGGATGAAGTCCATGTTGGCCCCTAAAAACAAGAAAAACCATCTATTTGGATAGTATGCCTATACCAAGAGTAGTCACTGGCAACAGGGGTCGGGTAAAGGCCTGCATCAGGTGCATGCTCAGCTTCAGCACTGTCGACCCTGTGCTGCGTCTCCAATGTATCTCTACTTCTCCACACTAAATGCCTATTTTATGACCGTGTTCTTTTTAGATACTGTTAATTTTGAGTATTTCCATAATCATGTACATAAGTGTATAGCCATGTATCTATTACATATGTGTATATCAACATGTATATATATTTATGTTCATATGACATACCATATTTGAAAGTTGATTAACAGGATATTCTAGGGTAAATCTTAAGTTTATAAACTACTTCTCCTATGGCCCTAATGGACAGTCCCACTAACCTGGATGCTACTTCTGGTGGCCCTTGGAGGGATTGGACTGTTGGAAGAAAGAAATGGAGGGAGAGGGAGAGGGATGGAGAGAGGAAAAGAAGGAGGGAGGGAGGGAGGGAGGGAGGGAGGGAGGGAGGGAGGGAAGGACGGAGGGAGGGGACGGAGGGACGGAGGGAGGGAAGAGAGAGGAACAAGCAGACTATTAATTCTACACTAGGCCTGTCTTTTGCAAATGCAGTAATGGATTTACCCAAAGCTAAGAATCCTTTAGAGATGGGAGATAATGGTACACTCATTGTTCACAACAGAAACCTGGCCATCTGTTTGGTGTGGGATGAGGAAAAAGAACAGCCCAGGTCACGGCAGCTAGAAGTAGCTGGCAAGACTAGAACAGTGACCCATGCTTCAGAGATGAGCCTGGAGAGGTGACACACACCCTTGGAAAAGATCCTCGGGGAATTCTGCTGACCTCCAACCAAGCTGATGCCCCTTCTTATCTGCTTACAGGCACCTTCGAAGTGGGTGTCCACATCGCCGATGTGAGTTACTTCGTTCCTGAGGGGTCCTCTTTGGATAAGGTAGCTGCCGAGAGAGCCACAAGTGTCTACTTGGTCCAGAAGGTACAAATCAGCTTTGAGTTTCTAGGCATTGCTAAGTGCACCCACTTAGCGCTCTTTGTTTTTAATCTGTAAAGAACATGCCTTTTCTGAATGTTTTCTCAGATCTAGTAATGTCTAAAATATGGGCTTGATGTTGGGAATATGCTTGACTTTTGCTGCTATACATTTTCTTGAAAGAAGCCAAGTCAAGGCTTTCATCCCAAGCTTCATCTTCAGAGTATCCTTGTTACATTAGTAGCTACAACAGTGGTCAGCTTCAGAAAGAAATGAGAGGAAATGCTTGCTTTCAAACTATTTCCCCAAAGAAGTATCTATAAGACAGCCCACACCAGCTGCTGGTTCCTGTATAGTTTGGTTGGGACCCAGAATATCCAATCTTTTGTGTTATCCATGGCTACTCTCACATAATAGCAATAGAGTGGAATGACAATTTACTGTCTACAAGAGCCTTTATTTTTTTATGTTTACTTTTTTTTAATTTTTTTATTGGATGTTTTATTTACATTTCATATGTTGTCCCCTTACCCCATACCCCACCCACCCAGGAACCCCCTATCCCCTTACCCCTCCTCCTTCTTCTCTGTGGATGTAACCCCTACCTACCCCCCCCCACTCCCACTTCCCCACCCTCAAAATTCCCACCCCCTGGGGCATCCAGGCTTCATGAGGTCAAGGATCTCATCTTCCACCTATGCCCAGCAGGGCCCTCCACTCTTACATATACAGCTGAAGCCCTGGATCCCTCCCTAAGTGCTCCCAGGCTGGTGGTTTAGACCCTGGGAGCTGTGGTTGGTTGGTATTGTTGCTCTCCTCATGGTGCCGCAAACCCTTTCAGCTCCTTCAGTATTCACTCTAACTCCTCCATTGAGAACCCCATTATCAGTTCAATGGCTAGTTGTGAGCATCTGCCTCTGAATATGTCAGACTCTTGAAGGCCTCTGAGGAGACCTCTATATCAGGCTCTTATCAGCATGCACTTCCTGACTTCCACATCAGCATCTACCTTTGGTGACTGCACATGGGATGGATACTCAGATGGAAAGGTCTTCAGATGTCCCCTCCTTCAGTTTCTGTCCCTCACTTTGTCTCCATATTTGCTCCCTTGAGTATTTTGTTGCTCCTTCTAAGAAGAACTGAATCACCCCCACTTGGTCTTCCTTCTTTATGAGCTTCATGTGGCCTGTGAGTTGCATCTTGGGCATTTCAAGGTTCTAGGCTAATATCCAATAATCAGTGAGTGAATACCATGTGTGTTCTTTTGTGATTGGCTTACCTCACTCAGGATGATAATTTCTAGTTCCATCCACTTACCTAGGAAACTCTCGAATTCATTGTTTTCAATAGCTGAGTAATACTCTATTGTGTAAATATACCACATTTTTTTTTAATCCATTCCTCAGTTGAAGGACATCTGGGTTCTTTCCAGCTTCTGGCTATTATAAATAAGGCTGCTATGAACATAGTTGAGCATATGTCCTTGTTATATGTTCGAGTATCTTCTAGGTATATGCCTAGGAGTGGTATAGCTGGATCCTCAGGTAATGCTATGTCCAATTTTCTGAGGAACCGACAGACTGATTTCCAAAGTGGTTGTACCATCTTGCAGTCCCACCAACAATGGAGGAGTGTTCCTCTTTCTCCACACCCTCACCAGCATCTACTATCACTTGAGTTTTTAATCTTAGCCATTCTGACTGGTGTGAGATGGAATCTCAGGGTTGTTTTGACTTGCATTTCCCTGACGACTAAGGATACTGAATGTTTCTTTAGGTGCTTCTCAGCCATTCGAGTTTCTTCCATTGAAAATTCTTTGTTAACCTCTATACCCCATTTTTTAATAGGGTTATTTGGTTGTCTGGAGTCTAATTTCTTGAGATCTTTGTATATATTGGATATTAGCCCTCTATCAGATGTAGGATTGGTAAAGATCTTTTCCCAATTTGTTGGTTGTCATTTTGTCCTATTGACAGTGTCCTTTGCCTTACAGAAACTTTGCAATTTTATGAAGTCCCATTTGTCAATTCTTGATCTTAGAGCATATGCCATTGGAGTTCTGTTCAGGAACTTTTCCCCTGTGCCCAAGTATTTGAGGTTCTTCCCCACCTTCTCTTCTATTAGTTTCAATGTATCTGGTTTTATGTGGAGGTCCTTTATCCACTTAGACTTGAGCTTTGTACAAGGAGATAAGAATGGATCAATTTTCATTCTTCTACATGTTGTCCTCCAGTTGAACCAGCACCATTTGTTGAAAATGCTGTCATTTTTCCACTGGACAGTTTTAGCTCCTTTGTCAAAGATCAAATGACCATAGGAGTGTGGGTTCATTTCTGGATCTTCAATTCTATTCCATTGATCTTCCTGCCTGTCTCTGTACCAATACCAGGTAGTTTTTATCACTATTGCTCTGTAGTACAGCTTGAGGTCAGGGATGGTGATTCCTCCAGAAGTTCTTTTATTGTTGAGAATAGTTTTCGCTACCCTGGGTTTTTTGTTATTCTATATGAATTTGAGAATTTCCTTTTCTAACTCTGTGAAGAATTGAGTTGGGATTTTAATGGGGATTGCATTGAATCTGTAGATTGCTTTTGGCAAGATGGCCATTTTTATTATATTAATCCTGCCAATCCATGAGCATGGGAGATCTTTCCATCTTCTGAGATCTTCTTCAATTTCTTTCTTCAGAGACTTGAAGTTCTTGTCATAGAGGTCTTTCACTTGCTTGGTTAGATTCACACCAAGGTATTTTATATTATTTGCAAATAGTGTGAAGGGTGTCATTTCCCTAATTTCTTTTTCAGTCTGTTTATCTTTCATGTAGAGGAAGGCTACTGATTTTTTTGAGTTGATTTTATAACCAGCCACTTTGCTGAAGTTGTTTATCAGGTTTAGGAGTTCTCTGGTGGAAGTTTGGGGGTCACTTAAGTATACTATCATATCATCTGCAAATAGTGATATTTTGACTTCTTCCTTTCCTATTTGTATCCCTTTGACTTCTTTTTGTTGTCTAATTGCTCTGGCTAGAACACTTCATCCTCATCAAAGGAAAAATCTACCAAGGTGAACTCTCAATTCTGAACATCTATGCTCCAAATGCAAGGGCACCTACATACAGAAAAGAAACTTTACTAAAGCTCAAAACACACATTACACCTCACACAATAATAGTAGGGGATTTCAACACCCCACTCTCAGCAATGGACAGATCGTGGAAACAGAAACTAAACCCAGACACTTTGACATTAACAGAAGTTATGAACCAAATGGACTTAACAGACATCTATAGAACATTTCATCCTAAAACAAAAGAATATACCTTTTTCTCAGCACCACATGGTACCTTCTCCAAAATAGACCATATAATTGGTCACAAAACAGGCCTCTACAGATACAAAAAGATTGAAATAATCCCTTGCATCTTATCAGATCACCACGGACTAAGACTGGTTTTAAAACCCACATGCACATGGAAACTGAACAACTCTCTACTCAATGATGACTTGATCAATGAAGAAATAAAGAAAGAAATTAAAGACTTTTTAGAATTCAATGAAAATGAGGACACATCATACCAAAACTTGTGGGACTCCATGAAGGCAGTGCTAAGAGGAAAACTCATAGCTCTAAGTGCCTACAAAAAGAAACTGGAAAGAGCACACACTAACAAGTTGACTGCACAACTAAAAGCTCTAGAACAAAAAGAAGCAAATACACCCAGGAGGAGTAGAAGGCAGGAAATAATCAAACTCAGGGCTGAAATCAACCAAATAGAAACAGAAAGAACAATACAAAATATCAATAAAACCAGGAGCTGGTTCTTTGAGAAAATCAACAAGATAGATAAACCGTTAGCCAGATTAACCAGAGGGCACAGAGACAGTATCCAAATTAATAAAATCAGAACTGAATAGGGAGACATAACAACAGAAACTGAAGAAATTAAAAAAAATCATCAGATCCTACTACAAAGGCCTATACTCAACAAAACTGGAAAACCTGGATGAAATGGACAATTTCCTAGACAGATACCAGGTATCAAAGTTAAACCAGGAGCAGATAAACCATCTAAATAGTCCCATAACCCCTAAGGAAATAGCAGCAGTTATTAAAAGTCTCCCCACTAAAAAAAGCCCAGGACCAGATGGTTTTAGTGATGAATTTTATCAGACCTTCAAGGAAGACCTAATACCAATTCTCTTCAAACTATTCCACAAAATAGAAACAGAAGGAACACTACCCAATTCGTTCTATGAAGCTACAATTACACTCATACCCAGACCCCACAAAGACATGACAAAGAAAGAGAACTTCAGACCAATCTCCCTTATGAACATCAATGCAAAAATACTCAATAAAATTCTAGCAAACCGAATCCAAGAACATATCAAAACAATCACCCATCATGATTAAGTAGGTTTTATCCCAGGAATGCAGGGATGGTTCAATATTCGTAAATCCATCAATGTAATCCACTATATAAACAAACTCAAAGAAAAAAACCACATGATCATCTCACTAGATGCTGAGAAAGCATTTGACAAAATTCAACACCCCTTCATGATAAAAGTCTTGGAAAGATCAGGAATTCAAGGCCCCTACCTAAACATAGTAAAAGCAATTTACAGCAAACCAGTAGCCAACATCAAGCTAAATGGAGAGAAACTTGAAGCAATCCCACTAAGATCAGGGACTAGACAAGGTTGCCCACTCTCCCCCTACCTATTCAATATAGTACAAGAGCCTTTAAGAAACAGTTTCAATCCTTCTTCTAAATGTGGACACCAATCCTGTCCTGACCTACACTTTACAGGTAGCCCATGGGATCCCCAAGGTAGGCTCTTTTGCTGCTAGATGTCCCTCACCTCAGCTATGAAAGGAAGAAATTATCTCCCTTCTGGAGGCTGGAAGATGAGTCAGTAAGTAAGAGCTCTGCCATGTGAGCATAGGGACCGGAATGCAGATCCTCAGCACCCACATGAAGCTAGGTGTGATGACAGGCCTCT